CTTCTCTTCCCCACCCCCCTACCACCGTTCCATCCTATGTGTACAACTGCATTGCTTTGGTAACTTGGGGCCTAGATGAGAGTTGAGTTCTGTTACCTATATACCGTGTTTCCCTGAAAATAAGACATCCTCCGAAAATAAGACCTACTTACAGGTTTTCTTCTGAGTGAAATATAAGGAATCCCCTGAAAATAAGCCCCCCCCCAGGCTACATAAGAGAGATTTGGTCCACTGACTCTGAAAGAAATGGAGTCACAAGAAATTCACCAGGAAATTCAGGAATTGGTTTGTTATGATGATGTTCCAGAAGATGATGACATGATTGTCATTGAATAAATGAGTAAATTCTTGATACTGTAGGATTCACAGTTTGTCTGGTTTGTGTTGACAACTACATACAGGTAATAAATTTCCTTTATTTTCATTTAACAATAAGTGTGTACCGTATTCTTCTTCATGGAAAAATAAGACATCCCCTGAAAATAAGACCTAGCGCATCTTTGGGAGCAAAAATTAATATAAGACATCCTCTGAAAATAAGACCTAGTGCATGGAAAGATAAGACATCCCTTGAAAATAAGACCTAGCCTAACTTTGGGAGAAAAACAATATAAGACACTGTCTTATTTTTGGGGAAACAGGGTGTGTGTGTATGTATGTGTGTGTGTGTGTGTGTATGTATATATATAAAAGCCCAGTGACCAGAACATTAGAATTACCAGAATGAACCATGGCTATGATGTGTACTGTGGCAGCCAACCAGCCTGATCCAACCAGCCCCAGTTGGCTCCCACCTCCACCCTGATTGGGGGTGGGGCTGGCCAGCCAACCACCTGCAGTCCCTCCCCCTGGCCAGCCCCAGGCAAGCCGGCCAGACCCCACCCATGCACAAATTTGTGTACCACACCTCTAGTAATGTTATAAACCTGGTTTGGTATAAATGTTTTTTTGTTGTTTTAAATCTGGGCTGTGATCCAGACAACATTTAATTTATTCCAGAATCTACCATGTAGAATGAAGAACCAATTTAGTCCAGTCCTTACAATAATGGTATCACTTTTATAGCACTTAATAAATTGTAAACATATGGTATGTTTAAATACAGAAAATGCCTCTGGTTAAGCAGGCCACGTGCTTTGGTCTCATTTTACAGATGAGAAAACTGCTCCTTAGAATTTAACTAGCTTGTCTATGAAAAAAAGGCAAAGACAAAACCATGACTGGGACCCAGGGTTTTTGAGCCCAGTGCTTTTTTGTTTCCTTATTTTGTTGTAAACTTGGCCTCAAATTTTTGCCAGAATCAAATCACAGGATGTAGTTTTTTAATTCTCATGGATTTTCTTCCACACGCCCTTGCAGGCATTATGTCGGGCAGAAGATGAAGAGGATATCCGTGCAGCCACCCAAGCCAAGGCTGAACAGGTTGCTGAGCTTGCAGAATTCAATGAGAATGATAGTTTTCCTGCTGGTGAGGGAGAGGAGGCTGGTCGGCCTGGGGCTGAGGATGAGGAAATGTCCCGAGCTGAGCAGGAAATTGCTGCCCTTGTCGAACAGGTCAGTGTTGGACCCACTAGTTCTCAACTCCTTCTGGACTCTGACCCTCTTTCTTTCCCTGGTAAAAATAATCACAGCTAGATGGGTGGGCCAGGACACCGGTCCCTCTGTTCATTACCACTCTTCCTCCCCACAGCTGACCCCTATTGAGCGCTACGCTATGAAATTTCTGGAAGCTTCATTGGAGGAGGTGAGCCGAGAGGAGCTCAAGCAGGCAGAAGTGAGTAGTTCTAGGAGGTGGGAGGCTACTGTTTTCTACCCACTACCACCTTGAGTGCCTCTCTCTGACCACCCTGTGGGGTCTGTTGTTGGTAGGAGCAAGTGGAAGCTGCCCGCAAGGACCTGGACCAAGCCAAGGAGGAGGTGTTCCGCCTACCCCAAGAGGAGGAGGAGGGACCAGGGGCTGGGGATGAGGTTTCCTGTGGGACTGGTGGAGGCAGCCACCGGCGCAGTAAGAAGGTCAAGGCCCCTGAAAGGCCAGGGACTCGAGTCAGTGAGCGTCTTCGTGGAGCCCGGGCTGAGACTCAAGGGGCAAACCACACTCCTGTCGTATCCACTCATCATACCCGCAGCACTTCCACACCCCCCCGCTGTAGCCCTGCCAGGGAGCGAGTTCCCAGGCCAGTGCCTAAGCCTCGACCCACTCCTCCAGCGTCAGCTGCTGCAGTTCCCATCCCAGTCCCTGCCCCAATTCCCATTTCAGCTCCAAATCCATTAACCATGCTTCCTGACCCTATCTTGCCTTCTCCCCCACTTCCTCCGCAGATTCCTCCCCCTTGTACTTCTGTCAGCACACCTCCTCCTGCCTATACCCCTCCACCAGCTCATACCCCACCTCCAGCTCAAACCTCTGTCTTAACTCCTACCTCCCCTCTCTCGATTAGTCGACCTTCTGTGCCCATCTTTCCCCCAGTCACCAACCTCCCCTTGGACTTGGGGCCTGAGGCAGAGCTGTGTACACAAACATTGGCATCTAGTGAGTCCCTGGAGCTGGTTGATGTGGCCCCCTCTGAGACTTCCCCGCCTACTCATGTGCCCCCTAAGGATCTGTTACCAGATGCTGTTGAGATCCTGCCTGTGACAGAAAAGAACCTTTCTCTCACCTCTTCACCTAGCCCAATCCTGGAGACTGGCAGTTTCCCCAATGGTCAAGAGCAGGAGGGACCAGAGCCTGCTGAGGGGACCATCCTCACAGTGCTGCCTGATGGTGAGGAGGTGCCCACGTGTCCGAGTGAGAACAGTGGTGTGGCGCTCCCACCTTCCGCAGTATCTGATGAGCAACTTCAGTTGCCATTGGAGGCTGACAAGAACTCAGAAGAGCTCGTGGAAGCCCAGACCCCAACATCCAGCCCACAGAAGCTGCAGGAACTTGCTTCAGCTGAGGTTACAGCTCCATCAACCTCATCTTCAGCCACCTCCTCACCTGAGGGTTCTTCACCTGCCCGGCCCCCTCGACGTCGCACCAGTGCCGATGTAGAAATTAGGGGCCAAGGGGCTGGTCGGCCGGGGCAGCCTCCAGGCCCCAAAGTTCTTCGCAAGTTGCCAGGACGGCTAGTGACTGTGGTAGAGGAAAAGGAACTGGTGAGGCGACGGCGACAGCAGCGGGGCACTGCCAGCGTTCTAGTGCCTGGGGTCTCGGAGACTGGTGCCAGCCCAGGAAGCCCATCTGCTCGCAACATGTTGGGGCCAGAATCCTCACCACCTACCAGTGGGCCCTGTGAAGCTGCTCCCCCATCCATACTGCCCACCCCAACCCAGCAGCCCTTCATAGCTCGCCGTCACGTTGAGCTGGGGGTGACTGGAGAGGGCAGTCCAGAGAATGGAGAAGGGGCACTGCTTGCCATCACCTCTCCTGCCATGAAACGTCGGAGGGGGAGGCCTCCCAAGAAGAACAGGTCTCCCGCAGATGCTGGACGAGGGGTGGATGAGGCCCCTTCGTCCACCTCCAAGGGAAAAACCAACGGGGCTGACCAGGTCCCTGGGGCTGACCCCCTTACTGTTGCAGAGCCGGTTTTGGGACCCCAGCTTATTTCTGGGCCCCAGCCTCTTGGACCCCAGCCCACTCATAGACCCGAGCCCATCCTATCACCTGTGGAGAAAAGAAGGCGTGGGCGGCCCCCTAAGGCACGTGACTTACCCATTCCTGGGACCATTTCCTCTCCAGGGGATGGCAGCTTAGAGAGCAGGACACAGCCGCTCCCAATGCCACCACTTCCACCACTCCTAGCCTGTCCCATTGCTACTGTCGCCAACACTGTCACCACTCTCACCATTTCAACATCCCCACCTAAGAGGAAGCGAGGCCGGCCTCCCAAGAATCCGCCATCGCCACGGCCCAGCCAGGTCCCTGTTTTGGACCGTGACACGTCTTCTGTCCTGGAGAGCTGTGGACTGGGGAGGCGGCAGCAACCCCAGGGCCAGGGGGAGAGTGAGGGTAGTTCTTCTGATGAGGATGGAAGCCGCCCCCTTACCCGCCTGGCCCGCTTGCGCCTTGAAGCAGAGGGGATTCGGGGACGAAAAAGTGAAGGGTCCATGGTGGTGGCTGTAATTCAGGATGACTTGGATTTGGCAGATGGACCAGGCGGGTTAGAATTGGCACCTCCCGTGGTGTCGGCTCCAAAACTGCGCTCCACCCGGCTACGTCCAGGTTCTCTAGTTCCCCCACTAGAGACTGAGAAGGTGCCTCGCAAACGGGCAGGTGTCCCAGTTGGCAGAGGTCCTGGGCAGGCAAAGCGGAGCTGCCTGCAGACCCCAAGTCCCTTGGGGCCTGAAGGTTCAGTAGAAGAGTCTGAGGCTGAAGCCTCAGGTGAAGAGGAGGAAGGGGATGGGACCCCACGCCGCAGGTCTGGCTCCCACCGCCTTGGGGTGACAACCAACCAAGGGGACCAGCGCATCCTACGCAGCAGTGCCCCACCCCACCCAGCTGGCCCCACTGTTAGTCACAGAGGCCGAAAGGCCAAGACGTGAGTGGGCTGCCCCTCCACCTAGGCTTTCCACCGTGGCCCCTCCCTCCACAACCAGGCCTGACTCTGTTAACCACTACTTGAAGTCTCGAGGGGGAAAGCCTCCAGGGAGACAGGGGCCTTCTCCCTTCTTTCCACCAAAGTAGGGGGTAGGAACCTGGTTGTCACGGAAATGGGGCACTTCACATATTCCCTTCCCTTTCACCCCACATGGCTGGGCAGTGTTAAGGGTGGCAAGATAGTCTCTGTCCCCACCCCCTTGTACTTGATTCCCCAGCAGTCTTTCACAGTCCTCCACCCTTAAGGAAAGGGGGAAGGACTTCTCTACAATAAGGTTTTTTTTTTTTTCTTTTCTTTTTTTTAAGAAGAAAAAATAATAAACTTAGTTTCTGTATGAGCATCCGCGTAAGGAGGCTTCTGATTTTCTGGTCTGGTGGAGGGTTGGGTGGGAACTTGGGCATCTTTTTTAATTCCCTTCCTCCTGCCAAGATCCTAGTACCTCATCTCTAACACAGAATTACATATCTTGGAGGAAGAAATGTCCACCTAAGAAGAGGGAAGATTTGGCAAATCTGATCTGGTAGGGTGCCTTTCTCTAAAGTTTTAGTTTTCAGTCACTCAGACTCTCGCTTTTCCTCTCCTCTCTTCTATTCTCTCAGTTCCTGGACTTTCCCTCAAGCCCTCTGATGCCTTAGACATTTCCCTGCTTCTATCTTTCTTGCTCAGGTGCTTTTCCTTTTCCAGAAGGCAGGCATCACTACCCTGGGTTGCTCCCATTGTTTTTCCTCCCTTGCTTTCCTCCATCTAGCCAAACTGGTTTGAGTCAGCTACACCCCCATATGAGCTCCTGGGGCTCTTCAGGTGGTGGCTGGCCACCCAACCCCACCCCTGGGCTTGGCTTGGAGCCCTGAGTCAGCTCCATCTCTACCCAAGCCAAATCAAACCTGAGGCAGAAGCCGAAACTCAAAGTACCTCAAGGCCTGTAGCCAGGTAAGAGCCCCTGTTCATTTTACATTTTCTCTGATCTCAACTCCCTGGCCCCTCTCCTTGTGTTCTCCCCATCATGTCTGTATCTGTTTACTCCATCCCAGTTCTTTTCTCAAACCCACTTCTGCAGCTTTGTGGCACATATCTTTGCTTGCCTCTTTCCACCCTTTTTATCCTTGGTTAAACAGAGAACAGCAAATGCTTTTATTTTATCTAGAATGTAGGGGAATGGTTGGAAATGGTGGTTTGATTTCAAAGCTCAGAGGACCTGAGAACTAGGGAGATGAGAAATGGTTAAGTAGGGCATCATTATGCAGGTTTCTGTGTGGGTTATGAGGTCGTTCAAACTCGGTGTTAATCTGATTGTGTTGTGTGGCCTGCGTTGAAATGGAGAGGAGATGGCAGGGAGTCAGCATAGCAAAGGAGGCCCTATTGGAGAGAGATTTAAGGTCTTTTCTGATGTTCAGTTTCCTCAATTATAAAGAGCTTAGATGGGTACTTTTTTCTTCCTTTCTCCCATCTCCAGAATTATCACATGAAGTGGCAGTTTTGCTTGAAGTAGGGAATGGCCTACTGTGTCAGTCTGAGGCACTTTGGGGAATTGTAGTGCCCTTTGAAAAACAGTTTAAAAATCAGACTTTGATAGTCTCCGATTCCTAGCAGCTGTTGAGATTTTATTTCCTGCTTCTCAGAGTGCACCTATCATTCTACTTCTCCCAACTTGTCAAAACAATAATATAGATAATGCTATGTTCACGCCTTTAAAAGACTTGAAATCTTAGTCTGAGGAAGGATTCCAGCCACACATTTCCTCTCTTGGTCTATGAGTCATTAGAGGAATTCCCTAGTAAGGTGGCATTCTTAAGATTGGGCTAGGCCACAAGAATATGATTAGAGCGGGGTGGAGCCTGAGAAAGCCAAGCCAAGAGCTCAGTTTTGGGGCTTAAAAGTACCTCGACTGTATCGTCCACAGGTGATGGAGGACGAGGAGAATGCAGTGGAGATCTTGGTGAGCAACACGGAAGCTGCTCATTCTCCATCCCCCATTCGCTGCTGCTGGCTCCGCCTCCGCTACTTGGCAGCTACTAGCATTATCTGTGGCTGCTCTTGCCTGGGAGTCATGGCCCTTGTGTTTGCCATCAAGGTGAGGAATGCAGTTTCTATGGGAGCAGGAGGTTGGGTGTAGTAAAGGCAATGACTTCATATCTGATCTGTCTACATTGATCAAACGGTTACTAAGTGCCTATCAGAGCTTGGTGTTGGACCTTGTGCCAGAAGTAAGAAGACATGGTTCTTGCCATGAAAGGCCCCACAGTCGAATGAGAGATGGTTGTGAAAATGGATAATTATTAATGGGATGTAGCTCATCAGTACTATGGTAGAAGAAGCACAAGGTATTCTGGGAGCTGGGGGAGGATATATAGGGTGGGTTAAAAGTAGGTTAACAGTTGTAAGTATCCAAAACAATTTATTTTGTAGTATTCATTGTATTATTTTCCATACAAACAACTGTAAACCTGCTTTTGCTCCACCCTTTATGTGTGTGATTACATGTGTCTGTAGAGTAAAGTAGGTGGCAGGAAATAACCTTCAAGGATGAGTGAATTAGGGTGAAAGGCATTCCAGGTAAAGGAAGCAGTATATATGAAGGCCTGGACTATTAGTTCAGCCTAAATGGACCAGTGAGGAATAGAGATGAAGCCAGAGGGCCCAGATTTCCAAGAGCTTCATCTTGAAAGTACTGGGGAACCACTCAAGGGTTTTTGCAGAGGAGAGTGACACGGTCAGATTTGTGTTTCAGTAAGAGCCACTCTCGAGTTATACATGGAGAATCAATTAAAAAACTGGAGGCAGCTGAGCAGTCATGAGAGCAGTGTGCAGAAGCCTGGAGAAGCTATAAGGGTGTTGAGAGGGTTTCACCATTTCAAAATACTTAACAGAAACTGCACATTTACCTTTTGAAAGGTCACACAGGCCGACTTAAAACACCATGCTTGAATTTGTATTTTAACCATCAGAAAAATGTATTCCTGCCCTAACTGGTTTGGCTCAGCGGATAGAGTATTGGCCTGCAGACTGAAGGGTCACAGGTTCGATTCCAGTCAAGGGCATGTACTTTGGTTCAGGCACATCCCCAGTGGGAGGTGTGCAGAAGGCAGCTGATTGATGTTTCTCTCTCATCAATGTTTCTAATTCTATCCCTCTCCCTCTCTGTAAAAAATCAATAAAATATCTTTTTAAAAAATGAAAAGAAAAACCTGTATTCCTGTCATAAAAATTTTTGGGTTTCATTAAGGTACAGTCATAAAAAGAATCCTTAAGGAAAGATGAGGCCCATTGACTAATGAGAATGGGGTGTTATGTGACTGAACATGAGTGAAAAATACAAAAATACTCCAAGATAGCTCACTTTTTAAAGTATTATTTTATTTTATTTTTATTGATTTCAGAGAGGAAGAAAGAGGGAAAGATAGAAACATCAATTGGCTGCCTCCTGCACACCCCCACTGGGGGATCAAGCCTACAACCTGGGCATGTGTCCTTAACTGGAATCAAACCCAGGAACCTTTAGTCTGCAGGGTGACACTCTATCCACTGAGCCAAACCAGTTAGGCCTAGCTCACTATTTCTTGCCACGAATTCCAAATTTCTACAGAAAAGTATTTTACCATATATTATCTTGTGCGTCAGTGGCCACTCTGAGAACTAGGCAGAGCATAATGGATAACTTTATTTTGCAGATGAGGCATGAGAAGTAGAAACTAGAAAGGAAGGTAGGGGATTTGATGTGAGGTTTGAACCATGACAAGGATGGAGGATTGTAGTGGGTCAGTGGGCATTTTGGGACAGAAGCAAGGGGAGAACCTAACCAAACACCTGCCCCCACAGGCGGAAGAGCGGCATAAGGCAGGCCACTTCGAGGAAGCAGTGCACTGGGGCGCCCGGGCCCGGAGGTGCATCCTGACCAGCTTTGTTGTCTGGCTTGCTGTCCTCGTTCTGGGCCCCCTGCTTCTATGGCTGCTCTCTTACATCATCGCCCAAGCTGAGTGATTGAGGGTGGGCTCTACTGAGTCAGCCGAAACCTCTTGAATCCTGCAATGCGGCATTGCTAGGGTCAAATGCCAGCGGTGGTCCTTCCTGGCTGGAGGATGGCGCCTCTCTCAAAGGGCTTCGGAAGAGCTCTTCTAGCCCTTTCTAAAAGGAAACTGCAAACTGAGACTGACGAGGGGAGGGCAGCCTGCTCTGTTCTTTCAGTGTTCATCATTCCCTGTTCCCCCCACCCTACCCCATTCTAGGGGCCTCTACCCAGAGGTGGGGTTGAAGACCAAGCCTGATTTTATTAGAATTTGTTTTATAATAAAAGCCTTTTTTAGTGGTGAAATGCTGTTCCTGTCTACTGTTCTTCCCCTGCTTTTCCCTGGGACCTTGGTAAGAGCCTGGGTGGGCATCTGACTGATGGCAGAAGTCTCCATCTCCCCGTGCCTAGTTGCTCCATGAGAACAAAAGATTTCCTTTTCTTTTTCTGGAAGCTCTTCTTGGAAAGGCCCCAGCTTCTTCCTTATACGTGAAGAGAGACCCAGAGAGCAAGAGTAATAGCATCAGCTACTATTTATTGAATGTTTGATATATTCCAAGCTGTGTTCTAGACACTTTGTATTTCTTAATTTCTTTTGTTCTCACAGTCACTCAATACCTAGGTACCATTATTCTGGCTTTATAGTTGAGGAAACAGACACAGATTATAAGGGCACACAGCTAGTAAATGGCAGAGTTGGGAATGAACTCAGACACTTTGGTTATGGAGTTGAGGGGAGAGAGAGTATTGAATACAGCAACCATCCCTTATATATAGAGATTTATATGATTATATTGAATTTGCATAGCCTTTATCATGAGCTTATTGATAATATTTTATATTTTTATTGACTTCAGAGAGGAAAGGAGAGGGGGAGAGAGAACCATGAAAATCATTGATTTGCTGCCTCCTACATACCTGGGCATGTGCCCTTAACCGGAATCAAATCCATGAGTCTTCACTCGAGCCACTGAGCCAAACTGGCTAGGGCTGATAATATTTTTAACATTTTTAATATGAGATATATCACACATACAGGAAAATATCAAAACAAATACAGAGCTCAATAAGTTAAAGCAAACATGTGAAAAACTACCACTAAGTCAAGAAATGAACATTGCCAGCACTCCTGAGCCTCTTTTATATCCCTTATTATCACTACTACTTCCTTTCTTCCCACAGGTAACTATTATTCTGACTTCAAACAATGTAGTTTTGTTTTGCCTACATTTGAACATTATATAAATGGAATCGTATTTTTTATCCTCACCCAAGACTATGTTCATTGATTTTAGGGAGGGAGGGAAAGGGGGGGGGAGGGAAACATCAGTGAGAGAGAAACATGGACAGTTGTCTCCTGCACATGCCCCAAACAGATCATGTCTGCAACCTAAGTATATGCCCTAGTTGGGAATCAAACCCATGACCTTTCCTTGCTCAAGACGACATTCCAACCAAAGGAGCCACCTGGCCAAGGCTCTTATGGATTCTTTTTATGCCTGGCTTTTTAATGTTTGTGAGAGTTACCAATCTTTGGTGTAGCTATAGTTTTCATTACTGTGTAGCATCCAATTGCATGAATATATTACATTTTATACATTTTATATTGGTAGATTTTGGGGATGTTTCCAGTTTGGGGATATTATGAATCATTCTGCTGTGGAGATACATACATATATATATATATATATATATATATATATATATATATATATATTTTTTTTTTTTTTTTTTTTTTTTTTTTTTTTTCTGAGAGGAAGAAAAGGGAAAGATAGAAACATCAGTGATGAGAGAGAAGCAGTATATAGCAGTATAATTTTTAAGTTGATAATTTTGTATGGTCCCTGAGTGAAGTTATAAATATCTAAATGGCCTTGGTAGAAAAAAGGTTTCCCACCCTGAATAGGTAAATAGACAATTTCTAGCACCTCAGAAGCCTCCCCCATGGCCCTCTCAGTCTTATTTTTGTCCCTGATTTTGGCCAGTGGGAACACCTTCAACCTGGTTCTGTTCTGATATGTCCCCAACTTTTTTCACTTTTCTGGCACAAATTATTGTAATTCATCATGCACTGTCTCTGCTCCAGCCTGGGAATTGGCCATTTCTTCAAATGAGCTTTGGTTCCTTCTATTGGGGACTGTTACTTTGAAATCTAGACACTAGCTGTGCTCATTCTACTGGGTTTAGGCCCTTTCAGAGGTTCATGCTAGAAATACCTAATTTTATTTTTTTTATTTTTTAAAATGTATTTTTATTGATTTTTTACAGAGAGGAAGAGAAAGGGTCAGAGAGTTAGAAACATCCATGAGAGAGAAACACCGATCAGCCGCCTCCTATACACCCCCACCAGGGATGTGCCTGCAACCAAGGTACATGCCCTTGACCGGAATCGAACCTGGGACCCTTCAGTCCGCAGGCTGCCACTCTATCCACTGAGCCAAACCGGTTTCAGCCCTAATTTTATTTTATTTTAAATATATTTTATTGATTTTACACAGAGAGGAATTGAGAGGGACAGAGTTAGAAATGTCAATAAGAGAGAAACATCGACCAGCTGCCTCTTGCACACCACCCACTGGGGATGTGCCCGCAACCAAGGTACATGCCCTTGACCGGAATGGAACCCAGGACCCTTTAGTCCGCAGGCCGATGCTCTATCCACTGAGCCAAACCGGTCCCGGCCCTAATTTTATTTTTTAAAAATCACATCTGATTTAATAACATGGTCCTCTCCTTTCCCCATTCTATTTTTTAAAATAATTTCATTGCACTTTAGAGAGCAGAAGGGGGAGGGAGAGAGAAACATCAATGGGAGAGGGGAATATGAATCAGCTGCCTCCTGTATATTTTCCCCCACCCCCTGGGGATGGAGCCTGAAACCTGGGCTGATGCCCTGACCAGGATGGGACCAGCAGCCCCTCTATGCATGGGACAGAGTCACACTGGTCAGGGTTGTTATTTCTCTATTCTAAATTCCTTACTCCCACAGTAAAACCCTTGGCTACCTAATGTTTATTCACTTGCTCAATTTTAGAATAATTATCCCATTATAGTACTAAATAACAAGCCTACTAAGTAAAGTTAAGTATTTCTTCACAATTATTTTGTCTTTATTTTTTTTCTCCAAATTTAAATTATCTGTGTACATATCTTACCACCCCCCCCCCCCATTTTGTCTTTATTTTTGAGAGTACATTTATTAAAGCTGGGGGCTGTGAAACAAGGACGGACTTAGGGTACAAGCAGCAGCAGGAGAGAGGCAGGCAGGGCTGCTTTGGCTCTAGAAACATCATGGGAAAGAAGTGAGCCAACACGGGGCTGCTGTCAGCTCAGCAGAGTCAGAGAAAAGGGCCTTGGAGACAGGTTCAGGGGTTAACCAGGGAGAAGCTGCTGTTGCCCACTGCTCCCCTGGTTGCAAGTCTCATGAGAATTCTAAGAGTTTAGGAGATGCATGCCTGTGGGGGAAGAAGTGTAGGGGAGAGAAGGATGCTGGGAGGGACAGGGCGCCTGTTTTATCTATTTAAAAATACATATTTCTATTGATTTGGGGGAGAGAGGAAGGAGATAGAAACATCAATGATGAGAAAGAATCATTGATTTGGCCGCTTCCTGCACAACCCCAACTAGGGATCTAGCAGCAGCCCAGGCATGTGTGCCGTCCAGTTCCCCCCCCCCCCCCCCCCCCCGCCCCTCAGGAATCCAACCCGGACCTCCTGGCTCATACACCAGGGCTATTTTGTCTTTCAGACTGATGATATAGTCAAAAAGTTACTTGGACTCATTACGTGGTTGTGATCACAAAGTGACATTTCTAAGATAGTTGTTAGGTTCTATTAACTTACTCTCTGCCTCCTTCATGGGGAATAGAACTTCCACAGGGTAGGGACTATTATTATTATTATTATTGCTGTTAGTATAGCACTGTGATTTTTCAACCAGTGACCACAAAATTTTTTTAAACATGCAATACCTGACTATTTAGTCAGGGACACTGATCTCTTTTCCCTTAGAGTGTCAAATTAAAATATGACAACAGCCAACACTACAAGACCGCTGGTATGAATGAATCAAAATTATACTTTTTTTTTTTTTTTTTTTTTTTTTTTTTACCAAATCAGCAAAAATTATAACCTATTTTTTGGTGTGCCTCAGAACTTTAGTAGTTTATGTGTGCCATGAGATGAAAAGGTTGAACAAATATTCACTGAATGAGTGAGTGAATGCCAGGGTTGAGGTATGCACAGAAGGCTTATGAAGCAAGTGGCTCCTGGCAGAATCTCATAACCTGGTAGCCTTAAAACTGTGTAATACTCCCCAGCTTTGGGGAGGGGTGGTGGAAGCAGGACCCCCAGCTGGGGAGTACCAGGGCTTTAGAAGTATTCAAGAGTCCGAGCAGACACAGGACGAGGCAGCCTCTTCAGGCTGACAGACCGTGGCCTGTCCCCGTCCGCACGGCGGCCGCGCTGGGCAGTTTTCCCGGCTGGAGTCTGCCCCAAAGCAGGGCCATTCGCTGGTGGAGCCGAGACCCACAAGGATGCCGGGAGGAGCCTGCGCGGGCCGTGCCCACGTCCGGAGTCGACGCGCAGCGAGTCGTGCATCGCAGCCACCCCGAGGTCCCGCAGCCCAGCGAACCTGGCTCCTGTTCCGGTCTCCAACCTCCCGAGGACCCGCTGCCCAGTAAACCCGGCTCCCCGGCCCCGCCAGCAAGGCCCGCCCTCCGCCGCCTCCGCAGGTGCCGGCTGATTGGCTCCGTTCGAAGCCCCGGCGCCGCAGCCGGGAGCGCCGAGCGCCGGGCCGCCGCAGCACGGCCCCGGCTCCCCATTAGACCGCCGGCTTCCAATCGCTGGGCCTTTTGAAGCCCGGTCCTCAGGAGGTGCCGCCATTGGCGGGCGGGCGGGGCGGGGCCGGAGGTCGCTACCGGCACGCCCCGGGCAAGGTAAGGGACCGGCGGCGGCCGGCCAGACCCGGCGGCAGGGCGCCCGCTGGTCCCGGCGCCTCTCCTCGCCTCGCCTCCCGGGTGAGCCCGCGCGAGACCCGCGCCCCGCAGCCGGCCAGTGCGCCTGCGCGGCAACAGCCGCCGCCCGCGTCCCCTCCCCCCTCCTCCCAGCCCCCCGCCCCCTCCCTGCCGGCCTTCCCGCCCCTCAGGCCCTTGGGCTGGGCCTCCCCAGTCCTGCTCCTTCCCCAACCCCGTCCCACTCCCCAAGATCCTGGCGCCCCAGCCGCAAGGACTGTGCCTCCGCGCGCCGCGATGTCCCTCCTCTCAGAGCCTGTGGGCCTCCCTGTCCTCCGTCTCCTCCTCACAGGCCCCCACCTCCGTCGGAATGACGCTGGACGTGGGACCCGAGGACGAGCTGCCCGACTGGGCCGCGGCCAAGGAGTTTTATCAGAAGTACGACCCTAAGGACGTCATCGGCAGGTGAGGCCCGGCGGGACGCGAGGTCCGGAGACGGGGCTCCGGCCGGGACAGCCCGTCTGAGGGCCTGGGGAGCTCCACATGACTTATCCTGGGTCAGCCCCCATCTCCCCCCACAAACTCATTTGTGTGTTCAAACAGTTGAATTGCCTACTGTGTGCCAGGCTCAAAGCTAAACAGAAAGGGAAGAAGAGGCGCTTGTACCCTGGAGGTAGTCCAGGTGAAGTGACCGGAAGAGACACGGGGACATTCAACAAGCGGGGGCTGTGTAGAAAGTGCTGTGGTTCCCTGAGACCCAGAGAGGCGATGTTTGGGTTTCGGAGGAGGAGGAGGAGGAAGTTCAGCTGCAGAGAACAGAAGGCGGGCCTCCGCTGTAGGGGCAATGGCAGATAGTTACTCACAAAGGTTTCTCAGCTTGTACAATGTGCTGGGTGCACGGTGCTAGGCACTGGGGATACCAGACCCACAAGGTTTCTGTTTTGGGAATTATGGTTGTGGAGACAGACAATAAACACACACAAAAAAACAAGACAAAGATCATCGTGCTGTGGAGACTATAGAGTGATGGAACGAGAGTCATGAATGGAGCTGAGACTTGGAGGATGAGAATGAACAGGGTAAGATATATTCTAGGCTGAGGGAACAATGAGTACAAAGGCTCACGGTAGGAAAGGGCCTTGTCAACCAATAGATAGAAGAGCATAGTGGCTAGAAGTAGACAAAGTAGGAAATTAAATTGAAGAGGTAAATAGAGGTTAGGTTATGTAAGGTCTTAGGCCATGATAAGGAATTTAAATTTTAGTGTAACTGGTTATTTCAAAAAGGAAGTAATAGGAACTAATTTGCATTTCTGTGATTTGGGAGCTAGGAACTTACCCTTTCTATGCCTCAATTGTGTGTGTGTGTGTGTGTGTGTGTGTGTGTGTGTGTGTTTAATAGATTTTTCTTGATTTCAGAGTGGAAGGGAGAGGGAGAGAGATATATAAACTTCAATGATGAGAGAGAATCATTGATTGGCTGTTTCCTGCACACCCCACAGGGGATTGAGCCTGAAACCCAGCCATGTGTCCTGACCAGAAATTGAACCATGATTTCTTGGTTCATAGGTCAATGCTCAACCACTGAGCCATGCCAGCTCTCAGTTTCTTCATTGTAAATTGGGAATAAAAATAAATCCTACTTTGTAGGTTGCTGTGAGGATGAAAAGAGTTAATGTGATACTCTTAGAACACTTTCAGGCACTTGGTAAGTGCTCAACACAGCTATAAAGATCATTCTGGCTCTTATGTAGAGAGTGGAGGAGGAGGAGGGGGCAGGAATGGAAGCACAGAGACCAGTCATGAAGCTATTGATTCATTTAGGCTAGTGATGGTGGTGGGTTAAGACTGGAGGGGAGTGATAGACATGAAAAGAAACGGATAGTTTTAGGTGTTGACTTGATACAGTTTCCTGAAGGATTGGATATGACCATGAGGGAAAAATAGAAGAAGATAGAAGAATAACCTTTAAGGTTTTTTTTAAAATATATTTTATTGTTTTTTTACAGAGAGGAAGAGAGAGGGATAGAGAGTTAGAAACATTGATGAGAGAGAAACATCGATCAGCTGCCTCTTGCACATCCCCTACTGGGGATGTGCCCACAACCAAGGTACATGCCTTTGACCGGAATCAAACCCGGGACCCTTCAGTCCACAAGCCGACGCTCTATCCACTGAGCCAAACCGGTTTCGGCAACCTTTAAGGTTTTGATTTGAGCACTTGAGTACCATTTATTGAAACAGTACCATTTATTGAAACAGAGAAGACAGGAGGATCAGATTATGGGGACAGGTGAGCAAGTCAAGAATTTCATTTTTTTTGCCCGAGCAGTTTTGGCTCAGTGGATAGAGCATCAGCCTGTGGACTGAAGAGTCCCGGGTTCGATTCTGGTCTAGGGCACAAGCCCAAGTTGTGGGCTCAATCTCCGAAGGGAGGGCGCAGGAAGCAGCTGATCAATGATTCTCTCTTTTCATTGATGTTTCTCTCTCTCTCTCCCTCTTCCTTCCTCTCTGAAATCAATCAAAAATATATTTTTAAAAAGAATACCATTTTGGAAATGTTAACTTTGAGATAAATAACTGGAGCTGTCAGGTGGGTCTTTGAGTCTGGAACTAAAGGAAGAGGGCTGGGCTAAAGCCATAAACTTGGGAGGCATCAGCGTGTAGATAGTAGTTGGCCAGAGAATATAGACAGAGAATGAAAGTGGCATGGGCTCAGGCCCTAGGATGTATCTTGGATTAGAGAAGGAGGAGCCAGTAAGGGAGAGCAAGGAAGATGTCATCTGTGAGTTACAAAGAACAGGAAGAACGTGCTTCTGCAAGGTTGGCATGGTCTGCTGTGATAAGTGCTGCTGAGGCCCTGCTCAGGGGTTGAGGTGTGGCTCAGTGGTGTGGCTCAGTGGTTGAGGATCGACCTATGAACCAGGAGGTCACAGTTTGATTCCTAGTCAGGGTACATGCCCGGGTTTCGGGCTCAATCCCCAGTGGGGCATGAGCAGGAGGCAGCTGATCAGTAATTCTCTCTCATCATTGATGTTTCTATCTTTCTCTTCCTCTCCCTTCCTCTCTGAAATATATATTTAAAAAGAATCTGGAATTCTGGAAAGAAATAATGACGGCTCAGGACAGTGTAGCAGGAATCATTCATACATTGTTGGTTTGAAAAGCCCCTGGGACTGGATGGAGGTCAGCAGGGGAGAGTATTGGGAAGAGAAGAGAGCTGAGACCCGCATCCTGAGTAGTGGGTTTCAGGACCAGGCAGGGGAGGATGCATAGAGGCTGGGAAGAACCTCCGGGAAGAATGGTGGTTCCACTGCCAGGGGGCCCAGGAAGGCCAGTTTTGGAAAAGGCGGATCAGAGGGTAGTGTCATTACCATCTCCTTCCACAGTTACTGTGGTAGATGATTCCTTGTCTCCTATTTCCCTCTTGTTTTCCTGCACACTCGCTAAATTACTTTCCTCAGAGTACCAGTTTCTTCATGTATAAAGGCCTGAAGCTCTAAGATTATTGTACTAGGCTTCAAACTCATGCATTTAGTGGTTGAGCACAAAATAAAACTGAAGTGGCTAAGAGTAAGATAGTAGGAGGTGACAAGTATTGTGGCAGCTGGAGGATTCTTGTCCCATCTAAAATATATGAATTCAGATTTGGAAAGAATATTGGACTGACCAAAACGTAATTCATATATGGGCTGTTTAGCCAGGGGGTTAATCGTTTGCATCATTTGATCGAACCAGAGATGTGGGTGACAGGCATTCCAGGCAAAGAGAGTATTGTAAGGTCCAGGAGGGGGGGTGAGAGCACAGCAGGAGGTTATGTGGACGTCAGCCAGGGAACCAGCGAATGAGATGTGGTGTGATCCTGAGAAGATTTGCACCTTAGCCTGAAGTACTTGTAGGGTTATAGAGAGTTGGTGACGGAGCCCAAGTGAGGAAATCTCTGTCTAGGACTTTGTCTTTACAATGCCAGAAGGGCTTTCCTGTCTCTGTCTCAGTAATGTCTTCCAGCTTCCCGTCAGGTTATTTTTGGCTACATTTCAGAGCTGGAGAAGCGGAAGCCCAGAGACCTTATGTTAGTGGGTTCCTGAGAGATTAATTAGTGGCAAATTTGGGGCTTAAACCTATATCTTTAATTCGCAACTTTGTTCTTCTAGTCAATTGCCCAATATTTACTTAGTGCCTCCTATACTTGAGCTAATGTAGGGGAACGTTGGGGTTTGGATGTGGTAATCAGGAAGTGTGAGTAAAATGTGGAGGAAGTCTTAGGTAATTTCTTCTCACTTTCTCCTTGTGAGGTTTCAGGGTAAGGGGCTGGTTCTGGGGCTCAGTGTAGAAGGGACTTGTCTAGATTCACCTACTGAGTGCATGGCAGAGGCTGGGTTAGAAACCAGGACCGGGCCTGCCTTCCCTGGTACCTTCCTGGGTACCCGCGTTGCTGCTTAGGCCACCGTGAATCTGTTGTAGGTCAGGACGAGCTTCTTGGGAGGTTGCCTGTCCAGAGGGGTCTTCAGAGTCTGGTGCAGCATGTATGAGGATGCTGAGGCTCTCTCTGGTGGAAGTGAGAGAGTAGGCGGCCCTGACTCCTGTGTTGTCCGACTCTGGCAGAGGAGTGAGCTCTGTGGTCCGCCGTTGTGTTCATCGAGCTACTGGCCATGAGTTTGCAGTGAAAATCATGGAGGTGACAGCTGAGCGACTGAGTCCTGAGCAGTTGGAGGAGGTGCGAGAAGCCACGCGGCGAGAGACACACATCCTTCGCCAGGTCGCTGGCCACCCCCATATCAGTGAGGCCGCATCCCTTGCTCCTGTTAGATGACAACCACCTCCTGCTGGTCTGCCCAGAGCCCACTCCCCCCAACACTGCTCCGCCCCTCTGCTCCCTCCCTCCTGGCTCTGTTCCACCTCAAAGTGTGGCCAGCCTTTGGGTCCCTATGCCTCCTTTGATTTTCCTTCCCAGTCACAGCCCACTGTTGCCTCAGGGTGGAAAGCCCCTTTAATATGCATGCGCTCCTTTCCATCTCTGTCTCTGCCTTTCTGCCTCTTTCCCCAGTCACTCTCATCGATTCCTACGAGTCTTCTAGCTTCATGTTCCTGGTGTTTGACCTGTGAGTATCTCCCTGCCCAGTCTGAGAAGCCGCCTCACCTCCATGCACAGCCCCAGACTCACAGCACAATGGGCTGAAGACCACCCTCCTCACCCCTTCCTGTTCCCGCCGGAGCCGCCTGGCAGTCCATGGCTCTGGCCTCTTTCCTGGTGCCTTGAGGCACGTTCTTTAAGGAGTAATAGTGACCAAAGACAAGGGTCTTCATGACCCAAATCCCCAACTGGCTTAACCTCCCGTGGTTATAAGGGTAGCAGAAGAAAGGATTGATTTGAGAGTGTCTCTAGGAGCTGACTGCTTATAAAATAGATATTTGCTCACCAGTCTCACATTGTTTGACGCCCTATGCTGGTGTCTATCTCTGCTCATCAGTTCCTTTTCTGGTCAGTGTAAATCTGAATGTCACATGCTATACCATATAAGGCAAACCAGTTGCAAAGGTTCTTCAAAAGAGAATGGTTTGGATATTAAATATTTAAGAGAGGCCTTTAGAAAATATTTTTAATACAGAAATGACCCTCTGCAAAAGTCTGAGGGGAGGAAGGAAGTGTCCATTTTATTTATCCATCATGCAACTTTGCCCAATAATAATAATATTCCCCAGACTATACCTGATGTGTTTTTTATATTTCAATAATGATTGACACAAAGTTACAATTATAACCTCATTCTTTAAAGAGAAGACAAAATAAGGAAAAATCAAAGCCCTTTACAACTTTTTTCCCTACTATTAATTGAAATTTTGGTTGGTGCTATAGATAACTTTAAAAAGTTATGCCTTTTTGAGTATTAGATAAGAAGGACCACCTGAAGATTATTGGCACAAGAAGGCATTCATTCTTTTTTTTTTTTTCTTTTTTTTTTTAAATATATATTTTATTGATTTTTTACAGAGAGGAAGGGAGAGAGAGAGAGAGCTAGAAACATCGACCAGCTGCCTCCTGCACACCCCCTGCCACAACCAACGCACATGGCCCTGACCAGAATCGAACCTGGGACCTTTCAGTCCGCAGACCGATGCTCTACCCCTGAGCCAAACCGGTTTTGCCAGAAGGCATTCATTCTTGCTAAAATAGCCCCTCAGGCACAATGAAGATATTTGAGCTTCTACCCCACTGGGCCAAATTGCCTCTGGCATTCCTCTCACTCCTGGAGTGCTCTGTCTTGAGACCCTTTAGTTTGTCTACAGAAGAATATCCCTCTCTTTAAAAAAAAAAAAATATATATATACATACACACACACACACACACACACACACACACACACACACACACATATATATATATATATATATATATATATATATATATATATATATATATATATATGTTTTTATTGATAGAGGGAGAGAGAGATTGAAACATCCATGAGAAAGAAACATCATCGATCCGCTGCCTCTTGCACGCCACCCAATGGGGATCAAGCCTGCAACCCAGGCATGTGTTCTGTCTGGGAATTGAACTGACAACCTCTTGGTGCATGGGTTGACACTCAACCACTGAGCAATACCAGCCAGGCCAGAGAAATCTCTCTACTGGCCTGTTCCGTAGTATTTTCCTTGAGCACTGGCTTATTTCCTCAGCCCTTACTGTGAGGCGCACCTCCCTTCCTACCACTTCTATCTCCTAGGATGCGGAAGGGGGAGCTGTTTGACTATCTCACAGAGAAAGTGGCCCTCTCCGAAAAGGAAACCAGGTAATGGCTGAGCCTGCAGCCCCTGGGGTGAGCAGGGAGTGGGGTGGGGCAGGGAGAAGCAGAGGAGACTGCCCCTCCCCCAGGTCCATCATGAGATCTCTGCTGGAAGCAGTGAACTTTCTCCATGCCAACAACATTGTGCACCGAGATCTGAAGCCCGAGAATATTCTCCTAGATGACAATATGCAGATCCGACTTTCTGATTTTGGGTTCTCGTGCCACTTGGAACCTGGCGAGAAGCTTCGAGGTGAGGGGACCTGGTGCCCTAAGAGGCTTGAGAGGGAAGGAGCCCCAGACAGGAGTCGGCTTGGCTAGATCTGAGAACTGAGTCCCAGCTACCAAGCAAAGGGAAGTCAGTAAACACTTGCCAAATACCCTCTGGGTGCAGAGCCTTGTTTGCAGCTCAGACTGGGGAGGAGGGAGACAGGAAAGTGAGCAGGTAAAATGGCACCCAGCAGCGGCTAGGGGCCATGTGGGGGGAGCGAGGAGAAAGGAGCACCTGAGTTAGCTGGACGGACCTACTGAGTTGGTCCTTGGGAGGCGGGGCTTGTCCCAGGAGGAAAAAGGTAGAGGGGATACAGGACTCAGCTGCACACTTGGGGTCTATCAGCATGAGTCTTAGGTGCAATGAGGAACCTGGTACTCTGGCCCTCAGGTTCACCCAGCGTTAACACATTTGTTGTGACAGAATAATTCTGGTGCAAATGGAAAACTAAACAAAGTTCAACTGCAAGATGCCTCAGAGCTGAGGCCGGTTTGGCTCAGTGGATAGAGCGTCGGCCTGTGGACTGAAGGGTCCCGGGTTCGATTCCGGTCAAGGGCATGTACCTTGGTTGTGGGCACATCTCCAGTGGGGGATGTCCAAGAGGCAGCTGATCGATGATTCTCTCATCGATGTTTCTGACTGTCCCTCTCTTTCTTTCTGTAAAAAAATCAATAAAATATATATTTTTTTAAAAAATCCTCAGAGCTTTTTTAAAAAAATATATATTTTTATTGATTTCAGAGACGAAGGGAGAGGAAGAGAGAGAGAGAAGATATGAGAAGGAATCATTGATTGGCTGCCTCCTGCATGGTGGACCAAGCCTGCATTCCAAGCATGTGCCCCTGACTGGAATTGAACCTGGGACCCTTTGGTCTGCAGACCAACATTCTATCCACTGAGCCAAACCAATTAGGGCCTTTTCTTTTTGTTCTTTACTCCCTTCATGGCACCCATCTTACTCTATTATTTCTCATTTTTTTAGTACACATTGTTTCATAAGAGCACATCTAATTTACTACTGTGTCCAGTGTACTGCATGGTACATGGTAGGCAAGAAATACATAGGAATGAATTTCCTGGGAGTCATGTTCAGTTTAGGCCTTTTAAGCTGTCCTGGAAGTGTGCCGTGGAATACAGTTAGAAAATTTCTGGGATGTTAGAATTGGGGCACAAAGTGGTAGAAACTAGAAATAAGGGCTTGGATCGAGTTATGGAGGGCTCTGTGCTGTAAGAACAGACTTGATCTTGAGGCCATATTGGGGAGCCAGGGAAGAGTTTTACACAAGGGACTTACCCAGTATGCACTTGAAGAAATCCCATACTCCCACTCCTTCCCCTTGGTTTGAGTGGTGATTCCACTAACCAGAGTAGAGATTATAGGAAGAATAGATTTGGGCAGAAAGGAATGCAGAAAAGTTGTTTGTAACGTGAGGAATGGGAGGGTTTGGCCAGAGGGTTGGAGGCAAGTGATAGTTGGATAGGACCTTGAAGTCAATCTAAAAATCGCGCTTTCCTTGATTTCTCCAAGGCCACCAGGAGCCTTGTATTTGAGTTGTTCAGCAGGGCCAGGGTCTAGTACTGAGACTCAGCAGTCTGGCAGGAGCAGAACAGGGAATACTTGTTGAGGCTCCAGTAGAGGGTTGGTGTTATGGGCCATGAGGGGGCTGGTGGCATCCCACCAATCTTCGCCCTCTCTCCCCAGAGTTGTGTGGGACTCCGGGATACCTAGCACCTGAGATCCTTAAATGCTCCATGGATGAAACCCACCCGGGCTACGGCAAGGAGGTCGACCTGTGAGTCTCTGGCACCCCTGTGCTCTTCGGTGTGCATCTGCCCAGCACCTGCTCCTGCCTGACTGTGTCTTTTCCCAGCTGGGCCTGTGGCGTAATCCTGTTCACACTCCTGGCTGGCTCTCCGCCATTCTGGCACCGGCGTCAGATCCTGATGTTACGCATGATCATGGAAGGCCAGTACCAGTTTAACTCACCCGAATGGGATGACCGTTCAAACACCGTTAAAGACCTGGTGAGCTGGGACCATGAGGGTGCAAAGCGGGAGGCCCAAGAGCTAGCCCTCATGTTGTGGGGTTCCCCTAGATTTCAAGGCTGCTGCAAGTGGATCCTGAAGAGCGTCTGACAGCTAAGCAAGCTCTACTGCACCCCTTCTTTGAGCGTTGTGAAGGCGGCCAACCTTGGAACCTCACCCCCCGACAGCGGTTCCGGGTAAGCCCGAGGGTCAGGTTCGGCCTGTCTCTGTCCCCTGTGGCAGTGCTACACTGGCACTCACTCCCCTCCCTTCCCAGGTGGCAGTGTGGACAGTGTTGGCTGCTGGACGAGTGGCCTTGAGCATCCACCATGCACGGCCGCTGACCAAGAGTGCACTGTTGAGGGACCCCTATGCTCTGCGGCCAGTGCGGCGCCTCATCGACAGCTGTGCCTTCCGGCTCTACGGGCACTGGGTGAAGAAGGGCGAGCAGCAGAACCGCGCGGCCCTCTTCCAGCACCGGCCGCCTGGGCCTTTCCCCATGATAGGCCCCCAGGAGGAGGGGGACTCGGCCTCTGTCACCGAGGAGGAGGCCATGCTGGTGCTGGGCTAGCACCTGAGCCTGGGGGGATCCCAGAAAGCAGGACTTTCCATGAGGATTTTTATCATTCCAGCCCCTCTTGGCTCTGGCCTTAGGCCCTGAGCCCCACTGCTTGGCCAGGCCACCGCTCATCTACATCATAAAGTCCAGTCCATCCCCACTGGGCAGGGCTTTCAGCTCAGAGCGGAGGTAGAAGGAACCACTCAAGAGGGCCATGCCTGGCCTCGTCAGTGCTGCCTGTGCTGTGTATGCAATAAAGTCTACACACCAGGTGCCAGTGCCCTGTGTCCGGTGTCCGGCTTTGGCAGGAAAACCCAGAAGTTGCTCAGAATGGGGGTGGGGGCACGGATGGGGCCACTCTGGCCTTTATTGGGGAAAACACGGTGGTCACTTGGACTTGTTCTTGCTTTTGCCTGGAGGCAGTTGGAAGGGCCGCTCCAGTGTGGTCAGCTTGCTGTTGAGCCTTTCCTCGCTGGCCTTGAGCCGCTCCTCCACCAGCTGCTGCAGCAGCTCCAGCTCCTTGTTCAGCTGGGTCTTGATGTAGGCTCGGAGGAGGGAGACGTGGCCTGCGGGGCAGGGAAGGAGAGAGGCTGCTTGGGGCTGAAAGATTGCCCCTCGCTGGGCAGACAAGTTCCAAATTGTCCCTAGGGACTACATAGGTGGTCATGTTGCTTCAATTCAGGAAATGCCAGCCAGCCCTTCTGTGAGAGAGAAGTGGGCAGAATGGCTATTTCCAGCCAGACTTTCTGGATTGCTGCCTAATAGCTTTGTGAACTTAGGCAGGTGAGTTCACCTTCCTATGCCCTAGGTTTCCTCCCATGTAAAATGGGGATAGTGATAGCACCTAGCATCTGGGATTGAGAGAAAATTAAATGGGTTAATGCACATAAAATGTTTAAAGCAGGGCTTGCCTGGCCCTGGCCGGTTTGACTCAATGGAAAAGTGCGGACCGAAGGGCCCGGGTTCGATTCTGGTCACGGGCATGTACCTCGGTTGTAGGCTCCTCCCTAGCCCCGGCCCTGGTCAGGGCACATGCAGGAAGCAACCAGTTTCTCTTACATCCATGTTTCTCCTTGTCTTTCCCTCTCTCTAAAATCAATAGGAAAAGTGTCCTCGGGTGAGGATTTAAAAAATATAATAAAAAATAAAATGAAATAGGGCTTGCCTGGCACAAAATATTATCAGTTATGTGCTGGCTATTGCCATCGGTTTTTCTGGAGCTCCTAGCTGCTGTGTTTTTATCTGTCATCTTGGACTTATGCATGCTGAATCCTTTGGAGAAAGGACCATGACTAAAAAAGTCTGAAGTCCCAATGTGGTCTAAACCCTTCATTTCACATTTGCCCCAAGTCATAGAGAACCCCAACTCCTCCAGGTCCTCACTTGGCTCTTGCTGTGACTCAGCCATCGTTTCTGATTCCATCTCCTGTAGGGTGACTGCCTGCTCCTCCACCTCCTCGCCACCTTCTTTCTCTGCAAGCCAGAAGCAGGAAGAGCCTTCAGCCCCAGCCCCGGCCCCGACCCCAGCCCCGGCATTCTCCCTTACCTGTCTCATCCTCTGGCCAGGGCTTGGGTGGCTGCAGCCCTAAATAAGTCAAAGACAGATCTAGCCGCACCTGGGGAGACAAAGGCAGCTGAGAGGACGGCATCTGCACCAGGGGAAGGGGGAGCGGAGGGGTGGTCCCGGGCCCAGTACCTCGGGAGTAAAGACGTATTTGTAGAGCTTGAAGTGGCGAAAGTAGGTGTTGACCACATAATCAGCCAGGGCCAACAGCTGTTCCTCCTTAAAAAGGTTGATACTGAAAGGGGGCCGCTGTGGGGGTGACAGGGAGTTAGAGGACTGACTGAAGCTCTGGCCTTTTCTCCTAGTGCCCAGCTGTCCAGGAGCAGGGAGAGCCCACTGTGGCCTTCAGAGGAAGATGAGGGTGATGAGTGTGAGAACAGGCGATGGGGCTAGGCCTTTTCTGGGGAGGAGCGGAGATCCCACCAGGGGAACTGACCCTGACTCCATGGCAAAAAAGAACACTGGTGAAGTAGCGGTAACATTCCTCCACATTGCCCAAGGGGGTTGCTGGGAGGGAAAACAAGATGTTCCAGTGAGTCACCTCTGTGATAATCATTCATTTTACTCAAGAGCTACGCTACTCAATGAGCATGAGCTATAAAAGCGGACAGATCTAGATTTAAGTACTGGACTGTTTCATTAACCCACTCATACTGAGTCCTGTGACTGGGCACTGAACAAGACAGGTAAGGTCTTGCCCTTAAGAGGCTGACATGTCAGTGGAAGGGACATACAATAAACCAAGAAATACATCATTTTAGCTCTTACTAAACATCCTGAGAAAAACCAGTTCTGGGAATAGAAGGGAGAAAGCAGCTATTTTACTGAGCACTGTGCATACATATATTTCACATACAGGGTGTCCAAAATATATATATATATATACACACTTTGTACATTTATTAATTCCAATGTCTTTTTTCAGATTTAACCCATTGGAATTAATAATTATTCAGTGTGTATACATTTTTGCCCCTCCCCCATAGCAGAACAGTCAGTATTCTTAAAGCTAAGGAAATGAAGATTTCATAGGTGAAATAACTATGGTAACACTGCTACTAATGACAACAGATGCCAGGTGGTGATATTTCTATTTCCCATGGTTACTGTGCCATCCAGCTCCTCTTTCCTGGGCTCAAACCTGGTCAGCGCCTTCTCTTACCAACGCAGGCCTTGTGAAGATCTTGGAGCAGGGCACAAGCCGTTGATGTCTGCTCCATTGAGAAGCCCTGCTGGCGGCAGAAGATGAGTGCATGGGAGAAGAGATCCAGGGTGATGGCATCACGCTGGCTCTGCTCAGGCCATCCTAGCCCCAACAGGTCGGCCAGCACCCTTGAGAGGGAGAGAGGATGGGGTGAGAGACAATGGAAGCCTCCCTTCACTACCCCCCACTAGTGTACAACAAGCTTTGGAGCCAAGCATTTCTCATGCCTTCCCAGTACACCCCTCAGCCTCTCTCTTGCTCCTCCCCCACCATACTCCCTCATCTCCTCAGCGTTGGCCGTCTTCTCCAGCCTGTGCATGGAATGGATGTCCAGATACTTCCTGCCATAGGAAAAGAGGAGGAATGGTGTTGGTGGCCGTCATACATTAGTCTCACGGCAGGACTAGAGCATAAGGCTGGGAACCAGGAAACCTGAGTTTGAAATTTGGCTTTTCTACTAACTTGCCATGTGACCTTAAGCAAGCCACCTCCCTCTCTGGGCCTCATGTTTTCCATTTGTAAATAACTGATATGATCTAAATGAACTTTGTGTGTGTGTGTGTGTGTGTGTGTGTTAATCCTCAGGATATTTTTTACCTTGGCTTTTAGAGTGGGAGAGGGAGAGGTAGTGGAAGAAAGAGAAACAAACATTGATATGAGAGACATCCATCAGTTGGTTGCCTCCCACTTGTGCCCTGACTGGGACAGGGATGGAACCTGCAACCCAGGTACATGACCTTGACCAGGAATGGAACCTGCAAGGTTTTAGTGCATGCCTAACCACTGAATACACTGGCCATGACCTAAATGAATTCTTTTGATTATTTTCATTATAAATCCTAATGTTAGGAAACTTGAGTTCTTGTTTCTGCTCTGTCACTCCCTTAATTTTGGCAGTGCCCCTGTGGGCCTCAGTGCCCCTATTTGCACAATGCTCCATGACAGCTTTGATATTCTATTTATATCCTCAGTCTTTGGCTCCCTTCTTCCTACACTTGCTCTTTGGACTATGGAGGCAGGAGAGCCAGCTTCTAGTCATCTTGGGTAAACGCATCTCTGGACCTCAGTCTCCTCATCTGTAAAATGGGGATGTCCTTTTTTTCTGCCCTGGCAGTTTTACAGGGCTCTTGGGGAAGCAAGGGAATCACGCAAGAGTGAGATGTAACTTTTCCCAAGGCTCTTTACACTCACCACATGCAGATCCGGGGCTGGGGCAGAGGAGGCTGCGGAGAGAAAGTAAATTGGACCAAAATCCTTGTCCCTGGTCCATGGCAAATCTCCAGGGGACCGGAGAACTCGTTGCTTTCTCAGCTCAAGGACTATGAAGGGACAACGCGGGCGGGCGGGGCTTCAGCAGGCCCCAAGTACTATTAATGAGCATATGAACAGTCCATTCGCCTCTTCACCAAGGCAGCCAGGAGACGCCTTAAAGTTAGTAAACATAACGACGCGTGGCGCCCTGGCCGGAGCCCTTTTATAACATTCACGAGCGGACTACTTGTCCTTACCGGGAACAAATTGGCTGCAGAATCTTCATCTTCCTCCGAGGTAATGGTGCAGCGCTCGGACCACACACCTAATCCCACACGCGAAGTTAGATCATCCACTGAGCTTCGGTCCTTCTTGTTTTCCCGCCGCAGTTGGGAGGATTGTTCAAGTTCCGACGGCGTTCTCAGGCTCTGGAATTGGCTGGACTTCCGACGGATCATCCCGTCGCCCCTCCTAGTCCCGGTCGCCGCAGGCTCTACCCGGCCTCGGTTCGGAGACGGCGGGTCCTCCTCAGGCACTTCCTAGGTCTGACCCTCTCTCCGCGCTTCAGCCAATCGACGCAGCCGAGAAGTTGGCTGCAGCCAATCCGCGGGGGGCGTCGCTACCCGACGGTTGCTAAGGCGGCTGGGGAAAGAACAGGAAGTGTAATGTTCTCGTCAATTAGAAGAGAATGCGCGTGCGTAATAAATTGCAAAGCGCCCCTCGCTGCTCCAAAGTTTCTAACGAAACGCCGACGACGTCGTTAGGCTGGGAGTGGGCTGTGGTGTCAGTAACTATAGGGACGTCTACTGGCCAATCACGGAGAAAAAGAGGAGAAGTTCGGAAGAAACCCGATAGGCGGGACTAAGCGCAACCAATAGAAACAGGAAGTGCAGTTCCACCACATCCGGCATTGCCTCCCGGCGCCTGCGCTCCGCGCTGCGGAGGCCGGGTGACGTCTGGCGAAGTCCAAGATGGCGGCGCTGGGCTGATCCCGCTGCAGGTGAGGGCCTGGGCGGCGAGGGCGGGATGCGGCAGGTATGTGCGGTGAAGGGTTGGGGCCGCGGAGCCCCGGTCGCGTCCACATCTGTGTCTCCGTCTTCTGCAGGTGACGGAAGTGCCGCCGCCTCCTGCCTGGCGTTCCTGGGAGACCCTGCACCGCTCCCGCCGCCGCGGCCATGTCTGGGCCCGGCAACAAACGCGCCGCCGGCGACGGGGGCTCGGGGCCCCCGGAGAAGTTGAGCCGCGAAGAGAAG